TATCTGGTTTATCTTGCCTTTGAAGGATTCTAACTTGAGCTTCGGAGCCCTTACGCCGGGTTCTCCCCGGAGCTTCTCTTCTCCTTCCGTTTCAGGTCCCTGTTACTCAGTTTAGAGGCAAGATCATCGATAGCTAAGACCGGCCAGATTGTGCATCATCAAATTTAAATGAGACAAATTTTGTATTCATTATATGGTAATATGGTATAGACCGCCAAAATGGACCGAACCATATATGATACTTTATTTGGACTTACACGGCCCATCTAGACCGGACCGGAACAAAAACACCCCAATTAGGTATTGGCATCTACACCAAACAAAGAATGATAGGCGGCAAATTTGGGCCCAGAAGCCCAAACCCATCTCTACTCATTATGCATTAGACCTAGATTTATTTGAAATTCATAATCAATCGAAGCCGTCCAATCAATTGAATTTCTGTTGTTGACCAAAACCTAATAGTCCAGATTGATGACAAGTTAAAACGTTTCTCAGTAACTCAGTATTGAGTTGACTATCGAGTCGAATTAACCCCTGACAAGGCACCGCTTAGGTGTTTATCGCCTATAAATATGGAAGGCATCCGTTCAAGGAGAGAGAGACAGAGGGCGAAAGCGAAAGCAAAACCTGGAGAGAAGAAAAAGTTGAGAAACCAAACTTTGATTCTGACGAACCAAAAAGCTTTGAATCGCATTTAACTCGACGGACCAAACGAAGAAGAAGAGTTAAGAAGCAGCTGCTCAGAAACCCTAACACCCCCTACCCTCCCCGATCGTCATCGTCTTCGTCGTGGTATTCAAAGATTGAGAATAAAAGTCGGAGGAAGAGGAGGGAGGGATCATCGACTGTGAATCTGCATGGACGAGGGGAGACGGTTATAGGGGGGGGGGAGCGAAGGATTCGCTGCGAGTTCAGAAGACGAGCAGACTATAGCAACATGTCTGCCATAGTGTGCGGCAAGAGATCTTTCTTTGAGGACCTGCCAACAACGACCCCTGTTTCTTCTTCTAAGAGAATCCGTTGCTCCTCTTCTACTTCTCCGATTCGATTCTCTCCCCCTAGGCCCATCTCTGCTGCTTTGTCGTCGTCTCCTTCGTCGGCTGATTCTACGCCTCTGCTCAATCATCTCAGAGCTATTTTCCCTGGCATGGATGATCAGGTTGCTTATTTGTTTAATCTCTATCTTTCTTTATATTCATTTTTTTTTTGAATGTCAGTTCTGATTGCTCGGGGTTTGTAGCTTTTTATTTTATTTGATTTATTTTTTATTGCGTTCGTTCCGGCGTTTGATTATTTTCGAGGAAAAAAAGAGCCTTATAAGGTCTTTTCAATGTTTAAAGTTTAAAATTTTTCGTATGAATTGTTGATGACGAAAAAAGGGTTTTCCCCCAGTATGATAGAAATGATAGAAAATATTTATATATATTTTTTGAAATCCAATAAAAATGTTTTTTTTGCAATTTTCCTCCTGCTTGGCTGCTTCTACTTGTATTTAGATTTCCTGAGGAAGAAAATTGGTGCTTATGATCTTTTTAGACCTCTGTTTAGACATGATGCGCTAATATTTCCAGGGTTCTGAGGTTTGTCATGCTCTTCTGATAATTATCCCGTAGAAATGAATTTAATTAAGAGAGTTATTGAGGGAAAACAATTCTGGAGACATTAAGACCCTTTGGAAGCCTGTTTGCTTCGCGATGGCTTTATGTGGGTGATGGCGCTTGAAAGTTAACTCGCCTTTTTAGTTTTTATTCAGGAAAGTGGTGAAGCTGTAATTAGTGAATAGTTTCTGGGTGTACTTTGTTTTTGTGCCCACAACTCTTTGTTGTATCTCTATTTTTAATCTAATGAATCAATTTTGTGTTGCTGATAAAAAAAAGTGGTGAAGCGGGGGGGGTGCTTTCTCCAATGATGGCAATGTCTGCGAAGAAATACAACCAGTGGATCACCTCATTATCAAGTGATTGGTCGCTAGGCTAGGGAGTAGCAAATTAGAGTTGGTTCTATAAATATACTTGTTCCCTTCTTGTTTATTGCTTTGGTTGTCCAATTACAATGGACTATATCTTGGAATTGTGGTATATCTTTCAGAAATGTTAATTTCTCTTATTATCTATGAGTCACTTGAAGATGAGAACGGATAGAAGGTTTGAAGTTTAATATCCTGGTGCCTTTTGTATTTAGGGGGAGGGGGATGTGGTGTTTCTTAATGGTTCTTGCTTTAGAGGGGTCCAATGTTTGTTAGATGTTGTAGCATCAAGAGGGTTAAGAAGAACTAATATTGTCTTCCTCACTCTTTCAAATAAGTTTGAGCTCTCTCTCTTCTCAAGAAGATTCATGAAGTTAAGTTTTGATGATTTCCGACTTGGCAGCTGGAGCTGCTTTGTGATTGGGGATGGCTCAATTTATTTATTTATTTATTTTTGTTTTGTGATTCGATTCCTGTAGTTAAGGTAACTAGGTAGCGCTTTGTTATTTTGGCCTGCAAGGTGAGTAGATGTTTAGGTGAAAACGTGGATATATAATTTATCAAAAAAAGTGGATATATAATTGTATACTTATTTTACAAATATGCTTTATAAAAAAGGCATGCATATAACCATGTATAAACATTATGGAATTTCTTGTTAATTATAAACTATTAAACTACAACTTAAATTAATAAATGATGAGATGTCAACTTACTCTGTTTTTTTTTTCATAAATAATGACAAGGTTTTTTTAATAATCTTTCCGGTTTAAAGGAAAGCACATTATTATAAACATAAGAACTATGAGCATCAAGCTTTTTCCTTGCATTCACTCTTATTGGCTGGAAATGGGTTACACATACTCGCATCAATACATGAACATAGTGTAATTAACTATTTCCCTCCATTAAGATGCTTACATCCACAATATACTTGTAGTTGGTTGCCTAATTGAAAGGGCTCCAAAATGCCTAGGCAATTACATATTAGATACCTAATTGATTCTTCAACTGCACTGATTAGATTTAGCTATGTTATGTTAAATATACTGAACTTTTATGAGGGTAAAAAAGAACCTTCTCAATGTTTTGAAATTTCTCAATCTTCATGGTGATGAATTAATGATAATAACAGCAATTATGTTCTAAGTATTTTCTTGCCTTTCATCTAGCTGTTAGTCTCTTGAGAAAAAAAATTCTGGTGGTTTAATCCTTTAAGATCTTTCGGTAGACAAATATTGTTTTTGAATGTTGTCGTTTTGTGAGAAAAGGGAAATGTCCCTGTAGTTTGGAAAATGTGAGATAATTACAAGGGTGATATCACTTTTCTGAAGGCTTTCTCTGTGTTAGGTAGCATGATTTAGTTCTTCTTTTCTTTCTTTGAAAATGGAATTGTCATGAACTCATGGAGAGAATATATGACATGCGAATTTACTGTGCTAGTCTGCAAATATTTGGGTGCTTGGTTTGAATAACTAATCATTTAATATCCATTTACAGCTTCTTGAAAAAGCACTGGAGCAATGTGGAAATGATCTAGATTCTGCTATCAGGAGTCTGCATGAACTTCATTTAGAGTCCGGGGATGGCAATTTGGGTGCTGCTGCTGAGCCTGATGGAAATATTGAAAATGCTCAATTATCACCACAAGGTATGCAAATGATAGTTTGGTATAATTAAGTATCTCAATTGAACATAATTTTTTGATTGTAGGCTTTTCTTCTACATAAATCTTTTACACTTCCCTGCTGGACATTGGTTTTTGGTTTGTAACAATCAAGTGTGAGGAGACTTTGACATTTATTTGCCTATTTAGCCCCATTTGTGCTTATATGGAAAACAAAAGTTTTTCTTAATGGGGTTTTTATCAAGTTAGGAAGAACAAAAAAATTTTCACCCTAAGTGTACGGTGATGGATTCATTGAGTTCATTTGTTGTTGTTATGGTTTTCAGTTGAACTATTTTGATTTTCTGGCCCTTTTGTTTCTAACTTTCAATTGATTTTTATCATCCATGATCTGAAGGAATTTGACCAAGCACGTAAAATTCCCATTAAGATCTTATTTTGCAATTGTTATCTGGTAGCTATTTTGCCACCTACATGTTTTCAATTTAATTTCAAATGAGAAAAGGAATGTCTCATATTTGAGGTGCTTTACTTAGATAAGAAACTTTTAGTGATCTTTTCAACATATTAATTACTATGTTACTCAAATGTGGTGAGGATATGGTATTGGATACAAAATTTATACTTGAAGTTGAAGTATCTGACATGATGACACACACTTGTACAGGTATCCAGGTATCATAGGTTATTTACTAAAAAAATATGATGTCAGATATCCTAGCAATGCAAGATATCATTAAATTAATCAGTATGCCTCAGTCTCCCATTCAAATTTGTGCATTGAAAGTTTCAGAGCAAGATGAAGAAACTATAGAAAACAATGCTAATCAATATATTTCTGTCCAAATAGTATCTTTGTAAGGCGTGTTTAACAATATGCATATTTGCCAGGATTACAGAAGGATCTTTATGGGAAGCTTCGAGATAAACCTTGTTTACAATCCTTAACCTGTTTAGTTCTCATCTCATCTATGTGGTGGTTAGATGATTGTATATCCAGAATACTTGAGTAAATTGATTCTCCATGACCTGGTTAATGAAAGAAGTTGATGTGTCTAAACTATATCCAGAAGAATCTTTATGGGAAATTTTGAGATAAACCTTGTTAACAATCCTTAACCTGTTTAGTCCTCATTTATGAAGTGCTTAGATGATGATTGTATATCCAGAGTACTTGAGTAAATTCATTCTCCTTGATCTGGTTAATAAAAAAAAATCATATTAAAAGTTGATGTTAACTATTAAATCATGGTAATTCAACTTGCAATTGATCAGGAGTATTTGTTCTCAACTTGGGAATCCTTTAAGGTATGAACACTTATACTGACCTGCATCTTATATAATGACCAAGAACCAAGATGAATGGTTGTCCTACTCCTGTTCATCCAAATTACTCCCTTTAGCCTTTCCATTATTTCCTTTCCTTATTTTGATGCTTGCAAAGCTTGAAAGAGGAACGTCTTATAGGAAGAATTAGACTCTAAGAAATATAATCTAGTAGTTGAGTTAAATCTGCAAACATAAGGATTTTGGTGACCTAGGTTTTTTGGATATTGAAACTGATGCGATGAGCTTCTTCTTCAAAGTGCCTTTAAATATTAGAACCAGATCATTTAATGCATTCACTGTTTAGGATTTGCATTTTTTTACTTTTGACCGAGGAATAATATAATTTAGCAGGTGTATTGAGTACTGCTGAAGATATTGTATCTTCTGAGGAGCCACTGCCTTCAAACAACCTCCTAATGGATGGCGCTGAGTGGGTGGAGCTGTTTGTTAAAGAAATGATGAGTGCTTCTAATATAGATGATGCCCGGGCCCGGGCCTCTAGAGTGCTTGAGGTTTTGGAGAAGAATATATATGCCCGTGTGGGTTCTGAGGCAGTACAAAGTTTTCAAAAGGTAGTTATTTGTCGTGTCCATACCTTTCAAAACTTTTGCTGTTAAATGCTTTACTTTATTTTCCAAGGCATATTGTACTTATATAGTGTGCTGTTGTTAGGAAAATATGATGGTGAAGGAACAGATGGAAGTATTGATTCGAGAGAACAACATTCTCAAGCGAGCAGTGGCTATCCAGCATGAACGTCAGAAAGAGTTCGATGATCGAAACCAGGAGTTGCAGCATCTGAAGCAGCTGGTGTGTCAGTGCCAGGAGCAGTTAAAGACGCTTGAGGTCAGGATATTCAATCAAATTAGAATGATTATCTTGGAATTTTATGATTTATAGTTCCTCCAGAAGTCCTGAATCAAATACAAGAGAGGCTGGTCATAGGTCTTCTATTTGAGACAACTTGTAGACCAGCCAATGGTCAAGGATCAAAATATCTGCGTTGGTGGTCATGGGCCCATGACCACCAACGCCAGATCGGAGGGTTTTTAAAGTTAGGGATGATAGAAGGCATCCCTCTCATGCTTGATAAAAACAAGAAAAAATTAAAAAAAAAAGGCAATAGTATTAATTCGATATTTGTTCCATGCCCATGACTCCATTACCTGGGTGTTCTGCGTTGCTTTCCTGACTTGTCACATCAAATATCTACTTAAACCTGGATTTGGTCCAATCCGATCCTGTCCAATGCGAGTCCATTACAAATGGACCTGGTCCAATCCAGTCCAATGAATATTTTGTACCATTTTGGACCGGTCCAGTTCAATGTCTGAGACTGAATCGTCCAATCTGTTCAAATTCATGTTAATTTAGATTGGTTCCAACTTAAACCTGGTCCATTGACACCTGTGTTCTTATCTTTCTATCAATGGATCAGATATTGGCTCAAACCAATATAAATTCATTAGGGACGGACTAGGTCCAATCCAATGTCTTACTGGTCCATTGACACCCCTACTCACAAGCCTTTGTAAGAGAATTCAAAAGGTGGAAGGGGGAAAATGTTCCCCCTTACTGCATTCTTGCATTTTCATATGTGTGCATGTTCCCTGGCTACCTTTATTGCTGATTTATGACATCTAGGGTTGTTTCCTTGTCATGGCAGATAAATAACTATGCGTTGACAATGCATCTGAGGCAGGCTCAGCAGAGCAGTTCCATTCCAGGGCGTTTCCATCCCGACGTATTTTAATAAAGAAATAGAACCTGGAAGAATTCCGGTTCCTAATTTTAGTTAACGTTTTATTGTTTGGGAAAGGATCAAGTGTGTGAATATCCATTTGTATTAAAAAATAGGCGTAGTGGTCATTGCTATTTGATGCTGCTTTTAGGTTTTATGTGAAGGCAGGTTATAAAAAGTTCATATTTTTACATTCTCAATTGGATTTTAGCTTTGTATAAAAATGTTTGTTTATTTTTTTGGTAAAAAAACAAAGAAAATGAAGGAAAATACAATTTTAACACACAATTAGAAGTCAGCATATTGTGTGGCATATATATCAAGGAAAGCACAATAATAGAAAGGGTCATTTACTAAAATACTTCATATAGTTTTATGGATTTATTAATATTTATTTTATAATTAAAATTTTATTAAAATATGACTTATAATTTGTAATGGATTTAATCAATTATTCATTAAATGATAGCGAAAATGACAGTTTTGACTTTAATATTCATTTATATAAATTTAATTAAAAAATAAAAATAGAATATCATTTTTGCCTTTTATAAGACAAGGGCAATTATTCTATTAGTTATATTTGGTTAATTTTGTTTTTAGTGCAAAAAAAAGTGTTAAAGGTAGTTTTTATACAATTATTTTATATTTTTAATTTTTTAAATAATTAATAATTATTGATATTTTATATATTATTTTTAATAAATTTTTTATAATACAAAAATAATAATACTTAATTTCAGTTAGGTTTATTCATCAAACTGATCAATCTAATCAACTCGATTTTAGTTGGTTTTCTAGTATTTTAGTTTGGCTTTGGTTCAAAAATTTTCCAATTTGATCAAGTTGGATCAATTTCACTTTGGCCATTTGTAAACCAATCAAAATCAAATGACCTATCCATGGATATATATTAACATTTTATATTTTAAATATAATTTTTAATATGGAAAAATGGGAAATTTTCTATATTTTTTATGTCTAAAAAGTTTTATATTATAAATCTAATTTTTAAATTTATTTTTTAATAATTGTACTATAATTTTTAAAATTTAATTTAATTTTTATATTTAAATCTTTTGAACTGACTGACCAAACCAAATAATCGACCCAAATTGATACAACTTCAGTGGGTCGATTTTTACAAAAGGTCAGTCGATTTCAATTGACCAACTCCCCAACCTGACCAGGTTAATTTGGTTGGCCAAATAACCTATGACCAAACTGAACCAACTCATGAACATTTATAATTTCATCTAAATTAATAGCCTCATCTTTGATAAATAATAATAGTTTAATCTCCAATAATTATTCAAAATTTATAGCAAAAATACACAATTATTGAAAATATATTGATAATAAAAAAAATACAATAAGTACTAAAAATATATTAACTTAGCCAATAAATTGTATAATCTCAAACAATAGTTTAATCTCTAATAAATATTAATAAATTTAAAATTTTCAATAATAGTAATTTAATCTTCAATTATTATTGAAAGTTTTCTGTTAGATAACAAAATAAAATAAATTTATACATAATCATTGAAAATACACTTATCACAAAAAACAATAAATAAGTACTAAAATAAAATAAATATATAATAAATATAGATTAAGAGTTTAAAATTATTATTAATAGATATTATTTTTTTTGAATGCTATTTTCTCCAATGATTACTTCATATAAGTGAAATTAGTTATTTACAATACTATGTAAAAATATTAAATTATTATTTAAATACTTAAATAATATGTAAAGTATTTAAATTTTAAAATATTAATTATTTATTGAAATTATTTATCCATAAAATCATAATTTGTACTATTATTACATAATTTCATCATTAATTTTGTAAAATATTAAATTATTATTAATTTCAATATTATGTTATAAATATTTTTCTACTTTGAAAAAAATTTTAAAATTTATTACATATTTTTTTTTATTTTAACTATTTAAAATATAGTTATGATAAATATTTAGTAATTTAAATATTTAAATGATCTATAAAATATTTAATTTTTTTATTTGAATTTTATTTATTTAAAGCTATTACATATTATTAAATATTTGAATAACATTTAAATTGATAATCCAGAAAAACAAAATTTAAATTGTTAGTACATTATTTCGTGATATATTTTGTAACAATATAAAATTATTTTTTTGTATTTTTAATAAATATTTTAAATTTATTATATAATTTTGTTATAATATTTAAATAATTATTAAATTTTTAATCAAAACTTTCTCTAGATATATATAGATAAAAATTAGGGGAGAGTATTATAGATAATTTAGGAGAGAAACTCTCTACTAAATTAGAGATAATTTTGGAGATAAATAGGAATTAGAGATAATTTAGAAGATAAATGGGAATTAGAGATAATTTTGGAGAAAGTGGGGATGGTAGTTTAGGAGAAATTTTAAGAGAAGAGATTATTTAGATTATTGGGAAGGTGCATCTCATTGGTTGTTTTGAAAATGACATGGAATAAAAAAATAAAAAAATAAAAAAAAGAGAAAATTTCTTGATCGCTTTGTTTTAATATATATACTAGCAGGGACACATGCGGTGAACAGGATTTATTAAGAGAAAGCTAAATAATAGAAAGGGTCATATATTAAAATAACCCTTATACTTTCATGGATTTACTAAAAATCTACCATATAGTTAGCATTTTACTAAAACACCACTTATAATTTGCAATGGATTTAACCAATCTTCCATTAGATGACAGTGGAAAATGACAATGTTGACCCTATTGTTCATTTAAATAAATTTAAGCAGAAGAAAATAAAAATATAAATATCATTTTTGCCCTTAATAAGACACGGGCAACCACTCTATTGGCTATATTTGGACAATTTTGTTTTTTATACAAAAAAATGTTAAGGGTATTTTTGGAATAAAAAGTCATGGGCCTATTGGCAAAACAAAGACTCTTTAATGAAAGGATGATTAAGTAAATAAGTTGTAAAATATATGGGATGTTTTAGTAAAATGAAAACTATAAGGTAGGTTTAAGTAAATATGTAAAACTATAAGGTGTCTAGGAATGGCAACGGGGCGAGGGTCATATTCCCCGTCCCTAACCCCGATTCTGAAATTAACCCCCATCCCCGATCCTCGACGGGGATGGGTTCCCTATGGGGACCCAAATCCCCAAAATGTTTTCAGATAATAGTATTTTTTAAATAAATTTATTTAAAATAAATAAAAATTTTAAATTATAAATAATGTTTTAAATATGTTTTGATAATATATATAATCTGGGTCGGGGTAGGGTGGGGACCTCAATCCCCATTCTTGACCTCGACCCCGACCCCAACCTCGACCGGGGATTCCTATTAATCCCTGTCCCCACCCCCGCCCCGCCAAAACAATCCCCATCAGGTCGGGGAAGTTAGGTCCTTGTCGAGCACGGGGAAAATTGCCATCCCTAAAAGTGTGTTTTAATAAATGACCCTAATAGAAACACATGACAATATACTATTGTTTTATATTTTCTACTTTTTAAATAATTAATAATTATTCATATTTTATATACTACTTTTAATAAAATTTTTATAATACAAAAATAACAATAATTAATTTCACTTAGGTTTATTTATCAAACTAATTAAATCGACCAACCCGATTAACTCGACCCGAATTGGTCGGTTTTCTAGTATTTTAAGTTGGCTTTCGTTCAAAAACTTTCCAATTCGACCAAGTTGGATCAGTTTCACATTGGCCATTTGTAGATCGACCAAAATCAAACGACCTCACCTTGGATGTATATTAATATCTTATATTTTAAATATAATTTTTAATATGGAAAAGTGGGAATTTTCCCATATTTCTTAGTCTAAAATGTTTTATATCATAAATATAATTTTGAAATTTATTTTTTAATAATTGCACTGTAATTTTTAAAATTAAATTAAATTTTTAAGTTCAAATCTTTTGAATAGACTGACCAAACCAAAAAATCGACCCAAATCGATACAACTTGAGTGGGTCGGTTTTCAAAAAGATTAGTCGGTTTCAGGTGACCAACTCCCTAACCTAACTTGGTCAATTTGGTTGGCCAAATAGCCTACGACCAAACCGAACCAACTCATGAACATTCATTATTTTAGTTAAATTAATAGTCTTATCTCTGATAAATAACAATAGTTTAATCTCCAATAATTATTGAAAAATTATAGCAAAAATACACAATTATTGAAAATAAATTGATAATAAAGGAATACAATAAATACATAAATTACAAAAATATAGTAAGTACCAAAAATATATTAACTTAGTCAATAAATAGTATAATCTCAAATGATAGTTTAATCTCTAATAAATATTAATCAATAACTTATAACAAAAATACAATAAATACAATACGTACAATAAATTAAATTTAAAAATTTCAATAATAGTAATCTAATCTCCAATAATTATTGAAAGTTTTCTGTCAAATAACAAAACAAAATAAATTTATACATAATAATTGAAAATATATTTATCACAAAAGACAATAAATATTAATTTTAGTATATATAATTATATAATAAATACAGATTAAGAGTTTAAAATTATTATTAATAAATATTATTTTTTTGAAATTTATTTTCTCGAATTATTACTTGATATAGGTGAAATTATTTATTTACAATTTTATGTAAAAATATTAAATTATTATGTTATAATTGTTTTTCTACTTTTTTTATATATATTTTTAAATTTATTACATAATTTATTTATTTTAATCATTTAAAATCTAGTTATGTTAATTATTTTGTTACTTAAAATATTTAGTTATTTAAATACGTAAATAATATGTAAAATATTAATTATTTATTGAATTTAATTATCCATAAAATCTTAATTTATACTATTACATAATCTCATTATTAATTTTGCAATATATTAAATTATTATTAATTTCAATATTATGTTATAATTATTTTTCTACTTTGAATAAACTTTTTAAATTTATTACATAATTTTGTTATTTTAACTATTAAAATTTTAATTATAATAAATATTTAGTTATTTAAATATTTAAATAATCTATAAAATATTTATTTTTTGTTATTTGAATTTTATTTATACAAGTTTATTACATATTATTAAATATTTAAAAAACATTTAAATTAATAATCTGGAAAAACATAATTTAAATTGTTAGTACATGATTTCGTGATATATTTTGTAAA